TTGGTTGGATAAATGATAGAGTTATAACGTGCTCAGTGATTGGTTGGATAAATGATAGAGTTATAACGTGCTCAGTGATTGGTTGGATAAATGATAGAGTTATAACGTGCTCAGTGATTGGTTGGATAAATGATAGAGTTATAACGTGCTCAGTGATTGGTTGGATAAATGATAGAGTTATAACGTGCTCAGTGATTGGTTGGATAAATGATAGAGTTATAACGTGCTCAGTGATTGGTTGGATAAATGATAGAGTTATAACGTGCTCAGTGATTGGTTGGATAAATGATAGAGTTATAACGTGCTCAGTGATTGGTTGGATAAATGATAGAGTTATAACGTGCTCAGTGATTGGTTGGATAAATGATAGAGTTATAACGTGCTCAGTGATTGGTTGGATAAATGATAGAGTTATAACGTGCTCAGTGATTGGTTGGATAAATGATAGAGTTATAACATGCTCAGTGATTGGTTGGATAAATGATAGAGTTATAACGTGCTCAGTGATTGGTTGGATAAATGATAGAGTTATAACATGCTCAGTGATTGGTTGGATAAATGATAGAGTTATAACGTGCTCAGTGATTGGTTGGATAAATGATAGAGTTATAACATGCTCAGTGATTGGTTGGATAAATGATAGAGTTATAACGTGCTCAGTGATTGGTTGGATAGCATATAGAGTATGACGTAGAGACGACGACTGACTCAATAAAATGACCTGATACGCACATGATGAATAATAATTTTAGCTTAAAGTTAATGTGGTTTGGAGATAAAATATTTCAGATGTAACTTGATTGTATCAATGGTGTGTAGGGTTTATCGTTATGGTCAGAGGAAGCAAACACACATCTACCGACTCGTCAGTGTCAATACCATGGAGAAGAAGATCTACGACAGACAAGTCTCCAAACAAGGAGTGGCAAGTGAGTTTTATGACGTAGTTCAATCACGTGACATCATGATGTCTAATGATATCACTGTATATATTTATTAAGTTATACTGATTACAACTTTATTCATTAAACCGAGGCTACACGAGCGATTGTTCGCTTGCGCAGGCGACGTGATTTTCTCAAAATTACCAGCGCACGATGTGGCTACACGAGCGACAATACTGTCTCGATAACAAAATCCTCACAAATACTTAATTGAATCTCCATAAAGAGGTATATGTACAAAATCAGCTCAAATTCGATGTTCAGCTTTCATCGTACCCGAAATTCGCGTCGCGTGCGCAAGCGAAAAATCGCTCGTGTAGCTGCGGCTTTAGAACAACGTACAATATTATACAGTTATGCTGCCATATTTGTACACTTCCTTAAAAATCTCTTGTTTTCACAGACCGTGTTGTTGATGAGCTTAACCCTGAAGCTAATTTTACAAAGCAAGAAATCATGTCTTTGATATGCGAAAAGGTGAAATTATTTTATCGTAAGTCACTTCAAGSAATAGATSTATAAACTTGTGTTTGACTATTTCCAGGAGCCTGACATACCYGCTGAAGACGTGGCATCTGCTGCCATTACCTTCACTGATCCAGTGTTGAACAATATTTGTAGGAACTACTCTGATTGGATAGCCAAGGTAAATACATTTTCATGAATTATTTAGCTCAACTGTGGAAATAACTGTTTCGAACTGGACCATTTATCAACCAACCTATGTCTATAAACCGATAGCACTTTCAATTACTTAGCAGATTACCACAAAACGTTGTATTAAGTAGATATGCCTTATTTTCTACAGTTACCTTTCAAGCATGAATCGTTGTTGGTTGACAGAAAAGAATTAAAACTTACCAAACTAGAGAAGAAAGAAGCCAGGAAAGGTAACCGWACTGCGTGGGGTCTGGGTCCTACAGTTCAATTCCAGGTCCCTGCCGGGAAACCAGTGGACAGTTATTAGAAGAATTTCTGTCAGCTAGCATATGTAAAAATATCAATATTTCAAAATCAAGCCTTGAATTTGTGGTTTAAAATGCAGGTTATGAAAGAGAGAAGAATATGGCACAGCAAGGAAGCAGATACTATATCAACCCTGTACCAGAATCGTCAAGGTCAGCAAAGGACAGCTYTTTKGTTGGGACTTGTGTAACGTTYTTTTCAATGTTGTCATGRGTTCTTGTTGCAGGGGTTRATCTTCCAGTTCGTCTTCATTTGCTGGTTRGTCTCGACCTGCAGGTAACTCAATTCCAACAGCGCCAACTATACTCCCTCGATTGCCTCAGCCTCAGCAGGCTAAAACTCAAAACCTTTCGCCGTACTTTCTTCAAAACCTTTTGAATCAGTCGAACGTACGATTTGCTACTCTCAATACAAACAGAYCYCCTAARCCTTTGAGTGTYAACCAACTTATGCCAAACATATCAGCGCAGTTGGCAGCAAATATCATTGCCAACCAACTGCAAATAAACCGTGCTTTGAGTACAGCAGCCAATCCACAGTGTASCAGTGGAAGTGCATGTAGACTTCCTGGTCTACCAACTGGACTAACGCCTGGACAAATACCTGGTGTAATCCATGGACATATGTCTGGATCAWCGCCTTGTCTTACACCTGGTCTAACGCCTGGACTATCACCTGGKRTAGGAACTAGTCTTAATGGCCGACCCATCATTACAACGTCGACATGCTCTTTGTCAAATAGTACCCAGTCTCCCAATGTTGTGACCATTGATCTGGATGACGTACCATCACCTCCTCCAGCTKAGAAACAATCAGCGGTTAACGCTCGTYYTATGAACGTCACTACTGCTACCAACGCTGGTTCTCCATCGGAGCCTGATAACGTACCTTCCCCATTACCAACAATGGTATCCAATGCTACCATAGCAACCAAGGAAACATCAGAGCCTACCATAGAAACAAGAGAAACTCCAGATGTTGCCATACAAACCAAAGAAYCAGAGGCTGCCATGGAAACAAACGATACAAACAATGGTAGAACTCTAATTGAAGTCGTTTTACCGCAYCAACATTTTGTAACCATGGAAASAGAGCAAACAAACAATTTAACATCAAATATTGATGCTATGGTTACGGACAATGCACCACCATTAGGTACCAGGCCTGCTCTTCCATTAGCGGTGCTACAGAACTTACTGAATGAGCAAGGTGGACTTGGCACCAGACCTTTACCTCCTGAGGAATCTCCCCACTCCCCCACGGGATCTTCTCAGATATGAAATAAAAGTCATGTTATTTCTTATTTCTAAACACATGTATAGGATARGTAGTTCGATTAAATATTGTAAATACATGTAGTGGTGAATTGGTATTCTAATTGATTCTAGAATCATTAATCAAACTGACAGTATTCTATTGTCGAAGCRAAAACAACGGATACAAAACACTAGCAATTATTAGAAAACATTAGGTTTTCATCTTGTCACTAAACAGGGAAATGAACCAAGGTGACTTCCTCGATGACTGTCACTGAAATGACAGATTTGCTCTTCTCCTAAAGAACTGGGTTTATTTAATATTTCTGAACWTGTAACCGAATATTCAGCAGGAGCAAAGCCGGAAAGAAAATACTAAAAGAAATTCTAAAACACGTCTTGTCGAAGAGACAATGTAAACGGCTTTCATCGCATTTTCTACAACCAAATCAATCAAAACATCTCTTTTAGTCGCCGCAGTTCGAATAATGAGGAAATAAAATACACGGCACTAAAGAAAGCGCTTTTATCATAAGCACGCATTTTGCCCGCCCGTTATTAGAGTACATCTGAATGTATTTTTTCTAAGTTCTAGTTTGAATGCAGGAAGTTGTTGATAATCACCAAGGAATTTAGGAATAAAACTAAATGATTATCAAAAGATTCCATAAAGCGATTGAATAATTATCACTCGGGCAAAGCAAGTGCTAGCAATTGGTTCATAACCAGGAAATACGCCAAGGGTGCTATAACAAATAGATTACTCATGCCTGTACGTCACAAAGACTGTACTGAGAGGTGCGATATTTTTTTTTGTTAAAACTTTTGAAATTCTAGATTAAAAAACAGTAATGGAGGTGTATAGATTGTCTTGTGCTGCTAATATCCGTGAAAAAAACTGCGSGAAGAGTTGTATGAGACTGGGATACACTTTTAGCGCGTTAGTATGGAGAACGCCTCGAAAACGTTAGGAGTATTGCATAAACGTCAAACTAAACTCAGATTTGGCAAACCGCGGGGAAACGTTAAAAGTGCTTTGTAAACGTCCATCTTCTACTCTAACCCAGTTTTTCTCGTTTCCGCTAGTAACGCCTGACAGTACACCTGTACTCTTTCCCACGGTTCTAGAGTTACATATAGTACAAAGAATTATTTATTTGCTAGTCAAGCCTGATTATAGAGAATTCTTGCTTATTCTATTTTGCCTTTTCTTTAATTCCGCACTTATAACAGTAAACGACAAAAGCTGTGTTCTAGACCTAGATCTCAGCTTAGTTTGAATTTAAGATATTCTATGTGGTCGCAACTCTCCTTGAGATGATATCAGCCGATATTCGATGATAAATACTTCTCTCCTTATAAATCATTATCATACATGTAGTCGTATTTCGTACTGAGGAAAAGCCTGGATGGGGGTAAGGAAGTGTCACTATAAACGCCGCCAATACTTGAAATTGTTGACAATCCTATACCAATATACCGCACAATGACATCAACCTCCCAGTACGCTCATGAAGCACTTGAAACTAGTTTTCAATATTTATACCTTTATTAGTTCGGCTACGAGTCAGAACATGTTTTACATAAGGACTCCATATGATCAAGTATAAAACTGATGACCACAAACCTAGATCTCTTAATAAAAAGAACATTGTTATTGATATTGGTTGTGCTATTTACATATTTACATTACTGTAATAATCTCGCAAGTTTCTTACACTGAAAATCAGATATGGTATCAATAAATAGAAATGTAAAAAATGGTTACAATAGTACAAAACATAATAAAGGAAGCGGTCAAATCTTGACACGTGCTAATAATGATGAAAAAAGAAAGCAATCATTTTAGATTCCAATAAAAACAACCTTGTTTACTTTACATGGCCTTTTTTCATGGTTTTCATTAAATCAAGAAATCAATACTGACATCAATTGAATTTGCGGCGAACACATAGTTTTTTTAGTGTCAAAAACAAGCTCTGAAGTGGCTCCGAGAAATTTACTACTTAGCGGGGCCTATGCGAGTTTGTCCTCAGACTTTTAATGCAGTCTTTTAATAAAAGTCTGTAGATTTCATGAGATTTTAAAAACAACCATAAAAACACTAATTCTCCAAAACTTCCGACTTTGAGTGAAATTCTAGGTAGATCTTTTGATATTAATTTMCGCGTTCGTGAAATGAAGAGATAGATATATTATTACGCATTATTGAGTAATCGCGATTACCAGATGGTGGAAAATGTATTCAATCAAAGTTAAAAATAGCGATATGGTAATGTGTTATAATTTATTTGAACATCAAATCAGAAAGAAAAATATTTCATGCCAAGGCAATCAAAAAGGGGAGAATTTCCTTATTTTCCTTGTAAAAATTTCTTTTCAAAAGCTAATTATCCATCAAGCTTTAACCTTCCATAAAATATCTATTTCGTTATTCTATTATATAAAATGACTTGATTCGATTTAATATTCAGATCCGGTCTATAATGCTGTGAATAACACAAAGGCTTTTTCCGATTGCTGAACTGATTGACGCTTTTTTCATTCCTTAAAAAGATCACTTGATTTATATTTACATAAGCTGTACATTCTCCAAATATTGATCTCTATAAAATACCCTGAAAGAAAAACACGCATTTTTTTCGCCTGTGGACGGTGCCAATTTGGATTACTTTTAGATTTCTGTATTTTGACTTAAAGCTTAAAATTCTAAGTGTAATCGGGTTTTCTTATTATCGATGGTACAAATTGGCATGTTTCACTCCCGAAACGATGTCAAAACTATATACATTTTTACAAGAAAAAGGATTGCTCTTTTTTATCTTGCTTGTTCATGTTCATATTTCAAATGAGAAATCGCAATCGTCCAAGTAATTGGTAGAGTTTTAAGGTAGATGCTTGACGTTCTCAAGTACCTATTGGTAGACATCCTTGGTACTCGTATTGATAGTTACTATGTTCTGATATTAAATATGATCTTCCAACTTAAAAACAATTTTTATAAATTGTAGTCAGCGAATGAGTCGATCTCACAGCAGGTCACAATTACACAAAAGCCTTCACCGTTGACTAAAGTTCACTTCCTAGTCATAGAAAACGCACTCATTAAAAAATAGTTATATTTCCCCGGGATTTGTCTCTATTCATACGTTCGATTGCGTAGTATCTCCTGAGCCAGTCCTTACTCCACTAGTTTCAGGTCCAAACTGTAGTGTTTCAATCTCAGTCGAGAAGCGAGATGTGCCAACACTAAAGCGGTCTCGCATCGCCATTGAAGAGTCGTTTTCATTGTTGGTGAGATTTCTTAAATATTCTAAAATATCCTTTGGTTCTTCYTCTTCCTCGTCTCGGTGAAACGCCCAAGATTTTAAGATACTTTTCAACTCAGTACGAAGTCGTCGGTTTAGTAATACATACACGAAAGGGTTGGTTAAGGAGCCTAAGTACTGTAACCACGAAAAACCAAGTTCAAGTTTAGACGAGCAGAAGTCATTGCCATGATGCCAAGTACCGATAGAGCACACTAAAATAGGAGCTCGACTTATTATGAAATTACCAATGATTACAGATACCGTCAAAACAGCCTTAGAACTTCCAATGTTTTCTGTTTTGGCCACCGAGGTAAAGTCACCGTTGGCAAACCGCTCAATATGGACATTTCCAGGTCGTATTTTGCGCGCGCTGTCCAAAGCGGCTTGAACACTCTTATAGTACATGACAACGGCGGCAAATAGAGGAACTGCAAATGTTAAGAGTATAAGAAAAAAGAGGTATGTACCAAGAGGTCCACTTATGTCCCAGTCAAAGCTACAGCGAGCGTTCCTTGCAAGGAAAGAGTACTGCAAACCTTCGAGTCCGTAGAGTGGGAAACTTACCCAGAACACTGAATGAAGTACAATAAATATCACTGTCCATACAATATGGMATCCGTTCACATTTGCTGTGTGGCTCATAGGACTTGCCAGGGAATAATATCGATCTATACTGATGACTGACGTAAATGTAGCAGAGATAATATACAGCATATTAAAGAGATAGCCATGGACGATACACAAAGTGTCGCTGTATGACCAGACCTGATTCTTGTAACCGATAATAGAAAATGGAACTACAAGTACAGCCATGAGAAAGTCTGTCAAAGCGAGTCCACATACAAGGATATTGCTGACAGTACGAAGAGTTGGTTTATGGACGATCAGCACTAGTACAGCTAAATTGCAGACGYCTGCAAGAACATCGAGGATTGAGAGCATTACTTCGACTCCAGTAGATGGCTGATAAAAGGACATCATGAACMTTTGTCGGTATCACCGCTGAAAAAGAAAATCATTTACATCATTTTTTAAATTCCGTTTTTTAGCTGTTTCGAGCCGTTCATCTCAGCTAGTTCGTTGAGTTGAAGTCACATTTACGTACCCTTGTAAAACTATCTTTGCGCATGCGTTTAGCGCGCTTTCTTATACTAACCAATGCTGATATAGATATCAAACGAAAAACTCTACTGCACTCCTGGCATTTTTATATTGTTATGGTATTATTCTGACATGACAAAATCATTTCCTAATTGCCTCGGATCGAACGTACGTCAACCAAAAAGCGTGGGATTTACTGAACGTGACGTGTTTTTGTAGACACAAGGTTTTGTGATACAGGATTTCACATCGCTATGTTACAGCTGTCGTTTATTCCCTGATGTCGTGTTTTGGTGAATGGCTCCAAACACTTTAAACGAACCCTTGTGGAAGATCTAGTTTATATTTAACGTTTTTTAATCGATTTTACACCATGATTTCCATTGTTTTTTTTTGGCGTATTTTTCGTGAAGGTTTTTTGTTAGTCTTTTTTTATCATGCTTACACTTTTTCTTTGTTTTTAGGCATATGTTGTTTGAGTTTGCTTACATGTAGTTCATCGTTGATTTATCGATATTATTTATTAGTTTTTGTTGTTCGGTGCTTCATAGTTTGATTACAGCTGTAAATATAGTCTATCTGTTGCTTAAAAAGATCGTTGTGAATTATCGGGGTAACGATAATTAATTGTATACCATAAAGATAGAAGTAGTGCCTGTATTGATATAGAGGTATAAATTAAAAACATAACTACGAACATTTAAATTTCAACATTGTTTCTTAAATATGMACGGTGTCAGCCAATGAAATGATCGCTCGTTGGCTTCATTGCTCAGTCCTTAGAGCTCTGCACTGGCATCGCAGAGTTCGGTWCCCGTTGAAGCCCGAATGTTTTRCAAAATGTCTTATCATTTGGTTAGGTTGTTTTATTCACTGCAAAGATCACACTCACTTGCACAAACTCGTTATCCCTAAAATGAAATGGATGAAAATGAAAAATCACTGGAAGTTTTATTTAAAGGACAAAAAAACAATAACACAGAATTTGCCACCAGCACCGATTTGTATGTTCAGTTTTAGCCAAAAATTGCCGTGAATTGAATTACTTTATATTGTTGAGTATTTTTCTTGTATACTATTAACATATCCTGGATTACATAATTTATATATTGCACTAATTGAAGTCATTTATTTATTTTTTCTCTCGCACTTTCTTTCTTGATATTCTTTCTTACTTTTGCTGCCAAACACATCTGTTGCAAGTGTACAACGATATTGACTTCATGATTCAATGAAATCTCTTCATACGGATTCAAAATGCCCAATTACTATCAATTTTCTCATCCTGTTTGATAAATTACCCCACTAATGGGTTAATGTTTTGAGCAATTAACATTAATCAAATGCCAGCTCACAATTATGATCAAGCTAACAACTTTCGTTTACTGGACTGTGGTTTGTTTCTATATCATAGTTTTGTCGGTCAGGTATCCTAAAGTTTCTTGATCCGGTTCGTACTTCAATCAACCTCGGGTAGTTAACGATATATCTGATATATCGACTTCCATTCTGATAAATAACATATGTATCTTTTTCCTTTATATCATGCTTATTTATAAGAATCTTAGACTATCGGTTTGAAAGATAAAACAAAGATATAAATGGCTTAAGTGTGTATCAACAAAAATATAAAATCAAAAGCAAGCAAGTTAAAAGCAAGTTAAGTTAACTTGCTCGAGGATACCACAGGAGCGCAGAGAACCTAGTTTTCCTTTTCCTCCAGCCTAGAAGGCAAAGCAGGCTTACTGACTATGGTACATAAGGTTATATATCTATATGTAGTCTAGTATTGAAAGAAACCCTTTTAAATCAATTACTAATAAAAAGACGTATTCCAACAGTGATTAAATGTACTTACAGTCCAGTTCATATGGTGTCTAACTGCAGGTGGAAGMATGTTTATTATATATACATAGACAAAAAGTTCTATTTCACAAATGCGTCTGGCTTATGGTAGTTGTCTGATGGATGATCTCGTTCGATCTGATTAAGTTAACAAGGACTTTTCAAGCCTTCACTATGTTTAGTAATGACTTGGTATGCCGGAGTAAGTGTGTTTTGAGTATGTCTCTAAAAGTAAAGTATGCTCTAATGGAAGAGAGCGTAAGAGCAATAATTGATAATGAGCAGTTCTTTGCCATGTGAAAAGAGTATCACGTTGAAGAGCGGAGTAAATATTGCCGAAGAAAATCCTAAAAAACGTGAGAGTTCCGCCATGTTTATAAAACATTGCGCGCTGAGCGAGCAGTTCTTTTTTGCATGTAGATGTTGAAGTCGAATTAGACGGCACAATCATTTGCAACCAGCGTAAGTRAGTTGCATGTTTGTAGGRAAAAGTTGTACCGTCTAATTCGGTTTTTAGGATATGTTTCATGAACTTTTCTTACCATCTGAAAAYTCACCGTAAATTGGATCCAACTTAGTATAGTATGTACAGGTTGTATACCTCCAAAATTTTGCGATCAGATTTTTGTGCAGATATGCTAGTAGGTATTGCTGGCATGGGTTAGGGTGCAGCTCATCTACTCCAGGCAGGACCGAGGTTAAATTATTTATTTTCAATTGCATGATGAACTTCCAGACTTTGATCTTATTAAATATTTGCTATAATTATTGTTGTAATAAAGTCCTGCGTTATTATTATCAGGTAAGTAAATATGCGGTGCTTTCGGAGAAAATGCCAAATTATTATATGACTTTGTGTACTTGATATCCGCCAGAGAGCTCACATTCGCATTCTGCGCCTGTCAAAAGTATCAATCGTTSATTTTTGTTATGATCGATATATCGGCTCTCTTATGTTAGTGTCATGTTTACATTGAGAGACGCAATGGTATATAATGCCAATATAGCTATGTATACATACCAAAATCTTAGTATTTGAAATATCTTAATAATCAAAATTAACCGCAGATTATATGAAAAGCATGGCATGGATCGTATTTACTTCTCTGCTTTGCATCTAAGTAAATAACGATGTCGCTTTGTATTGGCGTACATAGCGACTGGAGTTATAGCGAGGTTTAATACTGTTGCAGTCTGTACTTTTAGTATGATATCAATAATATGAGAGCAACGTTTTCCTAATGAAAAAAAATCCACTTGAATAGGAATAATTTCTTTTCCGTTTTGCTACAGTACCTGTAAACAGAGCTTGATAGGTAAATAAAGTCAGTATTTTTCTGTTAGGTTTTTAGTAGGAAATAGTTGTGTTTGCACCTGCAGTTAAAAATGTTTTAAACTCATCTTTCGTTCATTTCTATTAAAAACTGAATGATTCAATTCTTAGACTTTTCCAACTGATTGTTTTAAAAACAAACTCTAATCAGTTCAGGACACCTTTCCATCTGTTCATAAATATTGTCATGTATATATGCATAATGMTGTATATGTTTCGATTACGTAAGCATAGATGGCAAAAACAAATTTTTTCGATGCTATATTCCATTGATAAATAATTCCCATTCTTTCATTTGCTATTAAATTAAGAACGTTCAATTCAGCTTATTTGAAATAAGAATACCTAGAAATAGAACTTAATGCACCTTAGTAGTCGTTAATCGAATTGTCTGTGTGTGTGTGTGTGTCTATTTGACCATTACACCCTTTCAGTTCGTTTACACCCTTTCTATTTTTTGTATTTTTGTGTGTCTGCCCTCTAGGTATGTTTTGCCAATATAGATGTCAATTTTTGTGCTCTCTGTAAACCACTAAGTTAACTCTACTTATCAATATTTAAACTATCAATTCTTATGGACAATATAGTTTAAAACACGAAAAAGCTAATTCACACTTCCAAAATCAATTCATTTTACCCCCTTTTTTCCATATATATCGACGGTTCTCTCCGTTTGTTCTTACGTGTTTTGTGGAAATGAATGTGTTTTGTTTTATAGCTTATTTGTTCACAGTACAGTATTTCCTTTGTATATAGCGTTGATATAAAAGGAGAAAAAATGTGAGTAAAAGACGAAACTTACTATCTAAACAATTCGCGATGTTTCCAATTTCTGTTTACAAATGTCAACTGGAATAATGCCAATGATTTCTTTTTTCTATTCATCGCTTTGTCATCTTTTCAAAAATCTTTCCGTCAGTTTTTGTACTGAACATATAATACAATAATACAGCAAACTGAACAACTCGCTCTGACAAAAATCGTTTGTAGTATCAGATTTCTTATTTAACTATACTAGAGCGTACCTGAATACTGTATAGTTATATAGTTTTATCGTCTCGCTGTATTTGTTGCTCTAGCACTAGACATATGGCATGAAAAGATCACGAATTGTACTTACCTGGCGATCAATGGACGCGTAACTTTGGAACTCCTCTAAACAAACACGACTTTGCCTTTAATGTCAACAATCATGTGATCTGCGAGCTATTTTTAGCTACAGTTTACGCACAGGTGCATGAGATGCGATCCACAAGTAAATATATGATAATAAGAATTTTCATAAGGCGACATTCGGCTCCGTTATATAATAAAAAAGGGTCGTAAAAGGAAATCTAATATATAGTATATCACAAATGCTGTTATTCATATTGTTAATATTGGCGGGTTTTTAAATTATTTTTTTAAGAAATTTGTTTTACCATTCATTTATTCACTTGATTATCATATTGGTTGAGTGTTCTATATTTACACTTGTTTTAATGAATATATCTATTTTAGTCCACCACAAGTCGATACTATTCCTGGACACGCAATTAGGGGTGCGTTAGAATCACGTGTCACAGCTTGAAAACACCTGACTTTTAAGTACGAACCAAACGGACCATAACGTGTGGGACAGTCTGTATCTTTCTTTCTTGTAAACATTACAGAGCAAACTAGCGTTAAACTAGAGTGAACTACGTCGATGTTTCAATGAAATAACTAAAGAAAAGGATACAATGGCCCACCATAAAATGATATGCAGTTTTAATTCTTACCATTCTAAAAAGCTAACAGTTAACTAGTATTCATAAGTGCCCTTTCAGGAGCGGATCCAGGAATTTTCAGAGGGGGATGGCTAGCATTAAAAATTAATATTAAAAGACGTTACAATAGCCGACTTTAGATATTTTGGTTCAGTGACCATGCACAAAAGAATTGCAGACGAGGCTCCGGGGAAATAAAGAATAAACTGATAAAACGATATTATACGCTCTTTGATTGGTCATTTTGAAGCGTGCACTTCAAAATAAKTCTTTGAAATATTAAAAAAATAAAATTATCAATGGATAATCTTGATTTATTCTTTATTTCCCCGGAGCCTCGTCTGCAATTCTTTTGTGCATGGTCACTGAACCAAAATATCTAAAGTAGGCTATTAATTTGACTCTTTAGGCTCATGTMAAWTTATCSTTATCTCGGGTACACCTATAATATTTCGGATATCAAAAAACTTTTATATCAAAGATATATATGAATATATAAACATCAGTTACATCAAACAGTTCTTCTCACTCTATATTTTTTTCGAAGTAATTATACATATTTTTCGTTATACAATAATCCWGTTATTTAATTTAATCAAAACTTAAAGCCATTATATATTTTTTCAAATAAAAGAGGGGGATTGCTAGCCACCCAATCCACCCCCCCTGGATCCGCCCCTGCCTTCGTTCATACTAGGTTAAAAATCAAGCAGGTTCGAGACCATTGAAAATTGTGCGTTCACGAAATCGATCGTCGAACTGAGAGAGTAATTCAACAGTCAAGGGAGAATATTTTATGCTAAGTTATTGTTTGAATAGAGCGAGTGCTGCATTTCGAGTCRATAGTTTCAACATTGTCAAAATAAATATATTTTTCCATACTGCTTTTTGGCGCTGTCACTKAGATCAAGCCTCAAGCACAGGCAGCCCAGGACATTTAAATTATTTTTAAATGCATGTAAATCTAAAAAGCATTAGGGAGCTTTCATTTATTAGCTCAGGGGGGGGGGGGGGGGGGGGGGTCTGGCAAAATTTTATACATTTTTCTGCAAACATTATATAAGAACCCCAATCATGTTATACATCAAAATCACAACCCCCCTCCCTCTTATAAGACTGAGATCTGAGATTATAAGACCACACCCCCCCCCCCCCCCCCCCCCCTACATAAGAAGTATAAACATCTTCAAGTAGCCCCCAACAATGATATCCAAAATTATCACCACCTGACCCAAGTCTTGATACACTAAGATAAATCAAGGTACGTGAACCAATAAATTAATTCTTTTATTTCTCATCACACAATATACAAAGAGATGAAGTAAATTGGCACACAAAACATTCATATTTCATAATTTATAAAATGTGACATTGTTACTAAATTATTTAGACTTCAAAATTCCACAAATCAGTATGTCTATTTCTATTTGATTATTAATATCATTTCAAACATTGTTCAGCTAAAAACTGAGTGGATACTGTGACTTAAGAAATGAGTCTACTATGAGACGATGCTGCATCAGAAAGCTTTGCCATCACAAATGGTTGATACAACATGTAGATTTACACACACACTGAACATTGATTTGTACTTTTCACAAAAGGAAAAAAGCATTGCAATAAACAGGGAGAAAAGCTACTGACACAAAAATAATATGCTATCCATATGAAAATTTAGGCACAATCAAAATAATTTTACATCAAAACATTAGTTTACTTCAATTTCTATTTCTTTTCATCAAGCAAATTTTGTCATCATAAAAATATCCACTTTTTCCTATATCTACACCAAGATTACTGCAAATAATGCTACTTTACAACAAAAAGGATCTGRAGGCAACTTTGTATGTATTATATGAAATCAAATGTTGCTTATAATCATCCTAAAGTTGTTATTCAGCATAATTATTATGATATYCAAATCAATGATTAGCCTTGCTTAAATGAAAGTTTTTGTAAGTTTAGCTTTTGRCTTTGAATTCAAATGTGTTTATTTCATTGTGCAATAGCATGCATTGTACATTGAAAACAGTAAGTAATGAGTCATGCTAAACATTTTGTATTCAATATGATAATATTGCATTGTAGAGCTTGTTTCAAAATTACAAAATCTGAAAATCATTTTATTCAACATTTGAAAATATCTATCTACTGTATCTTGCCGAAACAAAACCTCTTTTGATGTATTTATAAACTACATTTAATAGTCTTATGCAGTTATAGAAGCTATAGGTATATTAACACTTTGAATTACATATTTGTGATAACTGTAGCTATTGATGACTTCGTGATTATTATGCACACTGTTAAGTGTTTTTCTTTTTGTCAACTTGAACATTTATAATGTACTTACACTAATATAGTGAAAGTACACAAATAAATACTGCAGGAAATCTCAACATTACACAAACAATAGATTCAAGTGATTCTATTAATTTCTTAACATCACATTGAGTTATATACCACAAGGCCAAGATGCATACATGTAGGTATTCCAAGTGAACACTTAACAGGCACATCAACCATGTTTTCAAATTGTGCGCAAGCTAAAGTTGTGGTACTATAAACAAGATATTGTATTACTAAAGAAATGGTTAAACTGAGAATATAGAGCTATGATAGCATACATTTGAAACCATTGGCGAGCAGTGACTGTAGCAACATTCCAAGTGTTTATACCATAAATCAGCATAAAACACATGCAACATCAAATAAAAATCAATTTATAGCAGAACACAACCTCGTTTTTTTTTCTTATTCTTGGTCTCTGGAGTTTTGCGATTTATTTGTCTCACCAAGTCATAGAATATCTCATTGACATTGATTTTTAATTTTGCAGATGTTTCCAAAAATGTGCTGCAATGAGAAATAAAAGAAAGGATTGTTTAGTACTTTGCAAAATGAATGTGGCAGTGGTGGTTTGGGGAGGGGGGGGGGGGGGGAGTATTTCAGAGACGACAGCCAATAATGATGTACTTGTTTGGGTGGGTATTGCCAAGGAGAATGAAAAGAACAAATTTTGTTCAAATACAGCTTACTAAGGCATGACTAATGACAATTAAGACTGCAACATAATGATAATATGAATAGCTTACCAGTTAGAAAATTGTTTTGCTAAATTCTGACCCTGGTCTTTCCCTACAACTCGTTCATCTTCTAAATCACACTTGTTTCCTACCAGCACCATAGGTACCTGAATTCAAGGATAATCATTGATCATTCTCAAAAATGTGCTTTCATTCTTATCGTCAAATTTACAGTAAGACTTTAATACCCAGCTGTCRTACAGGGAGCAAGTCAGCATGCAAAAAACACAACATTAAAATTATTATATCATGTCAAACAAGAGATCATGCATGCTGTGAAGGTATGTTTCCAAAAAACAATTATTTGAAAGCACAAAACATACTTTTCTAAAGTTTAGTACAACAATTAGCAAACTTGAAATAAATGTTCTTTACAAAGCCAGTTATTTAGTTATGTTTCCTTTTTGAGCAACCCTTTTCAAATTCTAGACATGATATTCAATATAATTTAACATGTYTGTAATGTCTTGAAATAAGAAACTTACATCATCTGTGTCTTTAACTCTTAAGATTTGTTCCCTTAGATCATGAAGGTCATTAAATGTTGACTGTGCTGTTATTGAGTAGACTAATACAAAACCTTGGCCATTCTTCATGTATAAGTCACGCATTGCTGTAAATTGTTCCTGTCAATCAGACATGCATGAATTAATAACACTTCAATATTAAAGAATAATAAAAATGTCAATATGATATGAATCAAGATCTGTATATACTTTGACAAGAATCTTATTCAATTAATCTTGGAAATRAAAATATAATAATAATCAATTCTTAAATATATTCTTTTGGGCATAGAGTTTGAATTCAAAAAATCCTTTTTGTAATTAATTCTTAGTATTTGAGTTTTGAATATATATTTTTATACAACATATAAACTTCAATTTGACCTTGCAGTCACAACAGTAAAAATGCTTTGCCTATTGGTGTAAWAACTGGATTTTTATTTAAAAAATGTTTTAACATAAGTATTTAACAATAGCTTTTGAACATCCCACAGATAAGGTAATCTTTGCATAAATAAATHACAAGCTTTGAATGAAAATAGACAAATATCCAGCATTGAATGTTGAGATTGGTATAATGTTATTGTAAATAGGAACAAACATACATCCACCATCATTTGATGATAAAARRTTGTGACAGACAGCCACCAAAATATGAAATTGAAAAAATGACAAATTCTGAAATGTTCTTCAGCTCTCTASAATATACTTTTTTGGTCCATTGATCAAGACTTTGCAGTAAAAAATATGTTTTAAAATCTTTTTATGATAACACKAGAAAAAACCCAATCTCATAATCAATAATGACCTAAGTAATAGTGACAGATGTGTAACTAAATGATACACTGGGGCAGTATAGACACTAGATTGGCCTCCAAGCTATAAACATGGTGATTTAACTATGACATAGTATTTTTTGACAGACAGAAAGGGATTGAATTACTTTGCTACAAGTTTAGACTGGCTTTTAAGGAAATATCTTATCCATTTCCTAGTATGTATGTAACAAAAGGAAAAGGATTTTAAAATTACAGTTCTGTAATTTTCTACCAATACTTTATGTTTTATATAGAATAAGTGATATTGGGGGGCTGGCCTGTTGTCATTATTTAATACACAATCAAATAATAGCTCGAAATTCTGAATATATACAAAACAATTGATTGAATAGGAGTTAGATGAACGGACASAGTTAATAGTCGTCCTAATTCTAGACATCGGAGGGGTAATTATGGGGYCAAAAAACACCTGATCCCGATCATATTTTCTCGCTTTCACATTCTAGTAAGTTAAAATATGAATAACTAAACTTCAAAATAATAACACCTTTCCAAACATTTTCAATACCAATAAAAAGGATTTAAAACAAATAAGATTTATAAAAAAAACTTYAAGTAGTTATMTAGTACGAATGCTGCTCGTTCGAACTGAGTTTGTAAATTGAAAAGTTTGAAAATTCAACGCTCAATCGAAAATAAAACTTACCGTTCCAGCAGTATCGAGAATTTCCAACATACATTGTTGTCCATCTACCTCAACTTGCTAAAACAAATAAAACGATGATAAATTTAGACGAGAATACACAGGAAATGTCTACACGACCAAACAACGGACATAAAATAAGATGTTCCATTTTMCAATTTACCTTTCGGTACGAATCTTCGATAGTAGGATCATATTTTTCCACAAATATTCCTTGAACAAACTGTACAGTCTAAAAGACAATACAGACAAAGTAATCAGAATTAAAATACAGTCCTCTTGGACCCTCTAGAATACAGCTAAAAAAAAATTCCTAACTCTTTCGATCTGTACTTGCACAACTCTCTGATTTTCGATAAATATCCCTACAAAGACAGCAGRAATGTTAAACTTACCAATGCACTTTTCCCCACYCCACCAGAACCAAGTACAACGAGTTTATATTCACGCATTTTGTGTAGAAACGGTTTGTATTTACACTGACCTGAAATAACGGCAATGGGTCGCCATGTTTAGCTCGAACTTACCAACAAAATCGACAATATTTCTTWGAATTTGTGCGATCAAAAATCTAAAAASACTTAAAACTTACCTCAGGAGAAGATAGAAATGTAACTTAAGCGAGAATCTTGACTGTTCGGCGAGAAAATTCAACAAAACAGTATTAAAGGCAAGTCAAGACGCTCCCATGGACTAGAACAACTCTATCGGGCGTGTACGTCACTGCTCGGTCGGCAAGTTATATATGACCTCGCTCTCATGTGCCTATAAATAGACCTTACAGGGGGTAGTATAAAAGCGATGAGTCACTTCAGAAATCATAGTTGAATTGCCCGTTTTATGGACGAAAAGTGGCGCTGACGTTTTAGAAGCATGGTTTTCGACAGCCACGTTTTTTTGTAAGTATAAAATCYAGTTTTTCATATTTTAGCAATTTTATAGGTTTAGTTCCTAACAAATGAGTTTGTTCTAAATCATAACAATGATACAAGGGTTAATGATGATATTCATAAGTTCTCCAAGTAAGATACCTAAGCTTAACAAATAATTTATGGTAAGTTCCGAAAGTTCTGACAATGAAATTTTGAGTAACGCCAAACAGCGAGGCTCCAAAGGCTGTTTATCCGCTCGCAAATGAACTGGTAAAGGTTCTTGACGCACCCTAGGGCTAGGGCGTGACTATAGGCCCTAATTACATGAAAAATTAGCTATATTATAAGTAACTAATAAACCTTTATAAAGAAAAATTAAACATACTAMCAATCTCAAAGGGAAAACGCATCGTATGGGGTGAAAATCAGTGATCTAAATCAGTTTTGAAAAGCTTTGAAAAGCTTTGACAGAAGGTCGCGCTTTATAGGATCCTGACATTTCGTGGTGAATCCCTCCGATTTTGAAGAAGTTTTTAGCAATACAAGTAAAGGTTGTTCATGKCGAGGCTTTTTCAGTACTTTTTGTGGCCTTTGACTACCAAAAAAAAGCCGTGTTCGTTTGATTTGGGTGCGGCAGATAAAAGAGACCCGCTTACTCAGTTGTAGTTTCAATAAAAATTAACTAAGTTGCGGCACTATTAAAACTTGATGATGGAAGTCCCAAACTGACAAATTAAGCATTTTTAGATAACCCGTAATTTTCTGGCTAAATAGAAATTTGCATACSGGCTCTTTTAAGAGCGACACAGATTCATTAAGTGACGTGGTAAGTTGGACCATTATTTCTTTAAATTTAAATCATTAATAGATCGTTATAATACATACAAGAAACGTTAAACAAAGTTGAGACTGAATATATTAATTTAGTTTAACAGGAACTGGTATGGGCTCCCTGTGTCGCTGTCGATAATTGCCAGTTCAATGGCGGAGGACGCTCCTGTAAACTTGGCGTACTTCTCGATGAAACCCTTTGAAATGAAAATAACGCAATGGTCTAGGAGTGGCATGTATAAATAGAATGGATTCTCACACCCCATTCTCACATGAACTGCGTACAAATTCAAAGGAAAGGACCGCAACCACTATCAACAAACCCAAGAAAAGTCGGTCGAAAGTTTGGGAAAAAGTTGCTTGGTTTACGAGAAAGACAAAAACTAGCAAAGACAGTAAATCAAACAGTTCACAAGAAACACAAAAAGAKTGTCCTAGCCCGTGTTTGAAACGAAGACAGTTTAACAAACTTGATGCTCGTGTGGTTGAACTCCGCGAAACTTCTTGCACTAGTCATTCTCAAAACATAAGCCCTAACATCGTTAAAGCAAAGTCCAAATCAGGAATTAGAAAAGCCAGAAGCTTTAACTATTTAAAAAGAAAGAAACTAGGACATCATAACGAAAATGCTGAGTGTAGCAAGAGCGATTTAATCGAGAATAATCCACCAGCTGAGATGGCAACAGGGACATTCTGCGACTTCGAGTCAACTAGAAGAAGGACATCTCGCACTAGTAGTGCAAGTTGCTGTAATTTATTAAATGAGATTACTAGAGAAGCTAACTTAAAACGTCAAGGTCAAGAAAAAGGCAACGCGAAGAGCTCGTTATCATTACCAATGAGTTTATTGTCAATAGGTGAAAATAGCTCAAGAGTATCATCCCAATCTAACTCACAATCACTCTTGCACGATCGCATGGGGCCAACATACAATAGCTGGCCAAGAAAAAAACGAAACTTTCGCTCAAACCATTACATTGAAGCCTTTTCTCCTCCTCAAAAGCAAAAACGTATGACGACTTTGCGAAAGACAGCGACTTTCAATGGTTTTGACAAATTGAGTGTTAATGAAGATAAAATGATAAATTACCATATCAAAAGCACACCCACYTTGGACTCTCAAGACAGCCARATTAGAAATCAAAATGGGTTAGATATAGGTGTTATCCACTTTTTCAAAAGTCCTAGTATATCAACTGTGAAAACTACTAATGAATCAGACTGCTCTGGAGTCAAGTGCGCTGTGGAAATTGTCCACCAATCTGAAAGAAACAMCCAGCATGATGACAGTGATGAATTTTACATGATGAATGCTCACTCAAGTTTATGTGAATTTTTTGAATCCAAAGACTGGAGTAATGAACAACTAGAATTATTTTCACATGAATTAAACTGCCCTAGTGATGAACTGTCTGAGCATTCTAATAGTATTATTGAACACAAGAAATCTACTTGTCCTTTTCCAGAAAGTCTAATTGAAAATCACTCAAAAAGACCTCTTGAAAATGAAACCTGTAGTCCAGAGGATGACCAGGAAAAGGCCATAAGCCTTGATGGTGTGTATCAGATTAAGCCTCACATTGTTGATGACAAAAAGATGAAGGTAGAGATACCATCGCACATCAAGCATTCCAGGCCAGAGAAACATTTAGAAGTTATTCAGGAAGTTTCTGATAGTATTGCTGAAGATAACAGCCTATATACTCGAATTTCCAGTAATGGTGGTACTATAGCTGATAGCAATGATGCGCAATGCACAACTGTCAATCAACAGGTGCACACTCTACCACCAAGCAGTAAACTTGTTGACGATTCAAGTCCATCTTATGGAATCCCTAGAATCAATGAGATTTCATTTGATGAATGTCTCCTACAAACCAATGAGACTTGCTCTCACCGAGACACCAATGAAGCTGTAGAATCTGTTAGCTGTTTTACAAGCGACAATGGATTGCAATATGATAATCTTGACGACAAATTGAGTCTTCCTGGATTCATTAGTGATGCTAATATGTTAGCAAACACAAACATTTCTACTGATATCAGTGTATACTGCATTAAAATTGAAGGCCAAGCAACTGACTTTTTAGAGAAGAAAGACGAGTATCAACATGTTTTACCACAAAAAACGATTACAGTACATGCAGAAAATGGCAATATTGAGTCYTTAAAACAARGTGAAAATACAGAGGAAAGCAACTTTGAAAATATAAGCAATTTATCAGCAGTAAATAATTATAACCTGAAAGACTTGGATAATTCCTTGTTACCTTCACTAGAAGAAGAAGAAGAACCCAAAGAGGCTAATCTACCTCATTGTTCATATTCTGACAGTTCAAGCTGCAAGGAGTTGGATTTCAAGGACTGTTTTGACATATCTAGTGAACAATTCACTAGTCAAGCAATTTTGAAACAAAAGATACCCAAAGTTGATGGACAGAAATTTAAACAAGATACAGAGGTGAGATCAAAAGTTTATAATTCAAAACTTAAATACTGTTTGATGAGTGTGTAGCACAAAACTCGGAGTTACAGCAAAATCTTGCCTCTTTGATATCATATATAATTTAAACCTTATAGGCCATTGAGAGCTCAGCATTTTCAAATTTAAATTGGTATTTATGTTTTTTGTAAACTTAATTATATTATAGCTATTCAGGTTCATATGGACAAGTGTCTAGTATTCATGTCTGAACAGTGAGGTTATTCTTTTTGTTTTAGATAATGCTTGATTGGTTTTCCAACTTCAACAATGAGCAGAAGAACATCTTTGTCCGAAGGCTTCTGGTAGGTTTTCATATTCTTGTGTTGTTCTTTCATGCATGAGGTATAAGAGGGAGTAGATTGAGTATGAGTGTACATCCAAAGCCATAACACTTTCATGACATCACTGTACACTGTGCTATACTCAGTAACCACTCACAAAGTACATCAAGCCAAAATGTCAAGATACACTCATTACAGATCTTTTGATCTTACTGTACCTTGAGGTCTGGTTTGTTCACTAAACCATACTCCATTGGCATGAGGAAGTCTAGAACTTTTCACTGCTTTATAATATTATAAATATTGCTGTCCTTACAGGAAAAATGTGAACTTCCACAAATGCACATGCTGTCAGTCATAATGGAGTCTGCACTACACAAGACCTGTCCATCAAACTGTCAAGACATGCTAGCATGGCTACCGCATCCTGTTACAGAGAAAATCCTATCTTTTCTTGATCCAGGTATAGTCATGTGTGTTTCTAGGAAATGAATAAATGGATGGATAAATGGATGGAATATGAAATTAGTAAATAAATAAATGTGTAATGATTTTTTAAACAAAACAAATGAATGAATACATGGAATCAACATTGAGAAGGCAAGAGAATGAGGAGAAAAGAAATCATTTGTAAAAGGAAAATAACAGCATTGTTTTCATGATTTCTAGTGAGTTTGTGCCAGTGCAGTCAAGTAAACAAGCTATGGAACAATTTAGCCAGTAATCAAGTATTATGGAAAGGACTCTGCAGGTTATTTGATGTGTATTATATTATAAGCATTTTGTAAAAGATTCAAATATGTAGTAAGTGGTAATACATGTAGAGAAAATTGTTTAGAGTACAGTAATACTATGACACTTGACACACTAATGGCTTGTACTAAGTCTGTTTTTTGTGTTTGTCAATATGAGAGATCAAGTCATGCTATGAATAATGTACAGTCACACAAGGGTAAAACATGAAATAACCATCAAACATTTCTTGATCCACAACAGGAGCAATGAATGGCAGCTTTCTAGAAATGCAGCAAAGAAGCAGAATGCAAAATATACTCTTCCATCAGGGATTATTCAGGTACAAACAAAGAAAATATCATGGTTAATTTTGTTATAAGAATCACTTAATACTTAATTTCAAAAATGATGATAGAAATGTTGTAGTAACACAGTTGTTTTTTTTAGTGGAAAAAGATGTTTGCTGAGCGATTTCTTCTTCGGAGAAAGTGGTTGAATGGACGATGCAGAGTGAGGACATTTGAAGGTCACACACAAGGTACGCATCTTATTGATCAATCTCTGAAACTCTTTTAAAGCCAGTTTACACTTGCCATTTTTGTAGCGCGATAATCGCCACTTTGCTGTTGAACAACTAAAATTATCCTGAAATTGTTGAGGCGATGGAAAATCATTGCAGCCAATTTTCAAGCATGTTCAAAACTCAGGGGATGGTTGCGCAACAATCGCTGCGAGTATTGCTCTGTAAAAATCMTGTAAATGGGACTTTATGATCAATTTCTTCATAAAATTCTGTAAAATAGTTTGGCAAGTTTGTGATGGCATATCATATGGATGTTTGATAATTAAATTATAATTTGTTGCAGGGATATCATGTGTACAGTTTGATGATACACGCATAGTTAGCGGTTCTAGCGACAAGACAATAAAGGTCTGGGACCTGAGTCTAGATGATGGCCATGCAGTCCTTACTCTTGCTGGGCATTCTGGGACTGTTCGGTGCTTGAACTTAAATGGAAACAGACTTGTTAGTGGATCAGTTGATAAGTCAATTAAGGTACAGATGAATACATGACTCTCCTATAATRACAGGCAAATGAAACAAAGAAGAGAATCCTATACGTATTACTATAAACTATAACTATAAACTCTTTTTGAGAGGGTAGCACGTAATAGTCTCTAGACTAGTAAACTTGTGGCCCTTTATATATTCACTCACACTCACTACCTCAYCATTCATTATTTTACTARACGACACTKSTCACAGCTAGTTTTTGACGGAAGGAGGAAAACCAGCAGACCTGGAGAAAAACCCTTGGAGCAAGGGAGAAAACCAGCTTACAAACTCAAATCACATATAGTCCCAGACCGGGAATCGAACCAGGACCACAGCGGTGATAGACTGGCGTTTTAACCGCTCGGCCATCCTGCTTGCTCCCCTTATTACTGTATGTAATAATACAGTTTTTATATCAGGTATGGGATTTATCGTTTGAGTCTTATTGGAGTGGAGCATCTTGTAAAGTAACAATGATTGGTCACATGCACACTGTGAGATGTCTSCAAGTCGATGACCAGAAGGTTGTTAGTGGTTCATATGATAAAACATTAAAAGTCTGGGATATWAAGACAGGACATTGTAAACTWACACTAAGGTAAGACCTGGTTTYTAACATTATGTTGTCATAGTTACARTTTTTGTTTATTCTTCCCTTCTAAAATTGTGTAGTAATAGTCTTCTTCGRGGTTCCTTGCAAKATCTTGAAATGTWGCTGGGACTTTACATCYAAGCGAGATGACCGTTGAGTGTGCAGGGAACAGTGAAGGGGACTWTTGCTTGAGTTGAAGTGTAAGAGTTATAGTTTGAAGTATGAGATCACTTGTGTTGTTTAAGAGTAAAGTGTAACAATTCMTCTGTCTTTCAGAGGTCACAATGCAGCAGTTTTGTGTGTTCAGTTTGACGACACTAAGATTGTATCTGGTTCTTATGATAACACTATCAAGGTATTTATCACCAGCTCATGTACAAACAGTGATTATTTGGTTGGTGGATTGATTGATTTGGTGATTATCAATGAATTGATTGGTGAGATCAGTTGATTGATGCTTTGATTGATTGATGGATGGATGGATTGATTGATTAGCTGATTGATAGATTAGCTGATTGATTGATTGATTGATTAACTGATTGATTGATTATTCTGGAATGTTCTTTCCCTAGCCAGAGTGCCACTCTTGAATAAAATGGCTTAAATGTATTTACTATGATTTGTAGGTTTGGAGTCTACAGGAAGGAGAATGCTTAATGACGTTGACAGGACATCATGATGCCGTGACGTGTCTTAATCTTACCCAGGATGGTAGGAAGGTCATTAGTGGGTCATTGGATCACAATCTGAAGTTCTGGGACTTGGCAACTGGGAGGGTAAGATATAAATGATTGATAGATTGACCAATAGTCTTCTTCACGGTTCCCTGCGCCATCTTGAAAGGTAGCCGTGCCTTTGCTTCAAAGCAAGACAACCGTTGAGTATGCAATGATAGAAATCTTCTTTCACACCTACAGACAATTTAGTCACAGGTATCTATCATTACACGCTCAATGGTTGTACTCGCTTCAATGTAAAGGGATAACTACCTTTCAAGATGGCGCAGAGAACGGTGAAGGAGACTTTTGATTGATTGTTCACTTGATTGATTGATTGAATGAGAGGTGTTTTTTTTTTACAGTGTATTGGTACACTTGACTGGATCAGATCTGAAGGTCACACTGGTGTTATCAGGTAARTACAGCATTCTCTATTTATTTGTCCAACACTGAAATGTTTTTCTTAAGTCTACTGGTTTTGTTCAAGGTGTTTGCAGTCTGATAGCTGGCGAATTGTTAGTGCAGGGGATGACAAGACACTCAAGGTATATTATGCATGTATTGTGTGCTTTAACCTTATACAGCATACTTATAATATCTTTATATTTTAGATGTGGAGTTTAGAGACTGGTCAGCGACTGCTTACATTACGTTGTCATACAGATGGRGTGACYTGTCTCCAGTTTAATGATTACATGATTGTATCAGGATCCTATGARAAAACRGTCAAAGTGTGGAGCTTTACACCTGAACATGAATTCCTTAATTCATCATAGCACAAGGCAATAAATTGTGGGTACTCTAGATAGTTTAGACTAGAAATCAAGCAATGTACTAACATTAGCCCAATGAAGATTCAAGATCATTATGTTGAATGATCTGCAGCTAAACCACCAGACTACAGAACAATCTTTTAGGGTTTTTTTTAACAAATTGGAAGTAATGAACAATGAGGGATTGATGCGCAATACAAACAGCTTTATGGTATTCAGTCTGAGTGCTTGAAGAATAAATATTTCAATGGTTAATGGCCAATAGGCTGAATTAAATAAATTTAATAATAGTTAAAACTGAGTTTAAAAATTGAYGTAGATATTTAACTAATGACAATTTAAAATAAAAGAGTATAGTCACATTAAAAATGAATTATTTTCAGAAAAAAGTGATTATCTAGTAAGGACCAGAGACTCTTTAAGAGCTTTAGAAATTATAGTTGAATTGTAAACAATATTCCTTTTCTTTAATCAAACCATTAATATTAAACAGTTTAATTGTTTAAAATATSGAAGATTATTGGTTCAGTAATAAACAAAGAGGTTTCAAACATTGTGACTTGATTATTTTAAAGGAATTACCTGAACATTTTACCAATCAGTGATCAATTCATAAAAATGCTGAATAAGAAATGCCTTAAAATTAATTCATCTAACTCACAAAAAAATATCTTAACAAAATTAATAGGAAAGTCCATGTACTTGCAACTCAGTTTGTCATCAACTTTATACACATATATACTACTGTGAATCACAAGACATTTACAAAAGAGTAATAATACAATATGGCTTGCAAGTAATTGTCGAGCGAGCACATTTTGACATGGGTGTTTTGGGGCTTGCCATACTTGGCTTGTATGACTGCGAACCAAAATATTTTATTCTTGTCTGGACCACCTAACTCTATCATCATGCATTACATACCCTGGTATGTTCTGTGTAGAATATCTCTCTTCTTCTCTTCGAATTCTTTGTCCATCACAAGTAAAAACTTGTTTAGAGCGGATTTCGTATGAGTGGGAAACGGACGGTACTGTACTACTGTGACCGTAATCGTACTGTAACCAAATTTTAGTGCCTCATTGGTTCACCAAAATTGTGCAGGCCAGGTCCAGTAACTGTGCGGTAACCGTGCAGTAATGGTGTCCCACTCATACAAAATCTGCTCTATTGGTTTGGGAGTTCTTTTCAAATCTTTCTAATGAAGGGTTTTTGAGTTGTATGTTTGGACACTACTTGTGTGTGTGGTTTTTTTGTTTGTTTGTTTTTGTTTTTGGAATTCAAAGTTGTCTTAGTCATGTGAGTGAAGTCTATGTGTTTTTTCTAATTCCAGTTTTCCCATCAAAAGGATCGATATAACCACAGGTAGCCCACACAAGGATAATAAACACACAGTGAACGTTTTCTGTCTAGTTTAATTAGCACTCTCAGCAAATCTTTTCAACAAAACCCTTCATTGGAAATTAACTATTAGTGAAAAATGTATCAAATTAAATCAAACAAAACCTAAAATACCCTAATACAAAACAGTGATGTTGATCAAACCATGCTAAAAAAATATAATTTGAAATAATATACACAGTATGATTACTGGAAATTGGTGCCTTATGCCCTCAATAGGTGCAAAGTAGACCAGGAACAGTAACAATATAGTGCCTAGCACATCTCTCTTATAAACACTATCGGAATATGGTGCCTTATGCCCCCTCTAGGTGCAAAGTAGACCAGGTACATCAACAGTATGGTGCCTACCACCTTATAAACACTATTGGAATATGGTACCTTATACCCAACAGGATGCAAATTACACATCTCTCATAAACATGTATTGCAAAACCTGTTCAATATTATTACTATTGTATGATGATATTGTTCATATTGCATGCATTAACCCTTACAACTAACTGTGAAGCATCATTTCAGTTTTGTTGTTTTTAGAGGCAGATGGCAAGCACCAAATTAGTATTGGTTGATTTGCAAACTAAATTAGACTTTTAACAAAGTTAATTTTGGATTATTTAGAATAAATTTAAATATATTTGAATTACCATTAAAACTTCTTAATTTAACATCAATAAAATTAAACTTTCTATTTAACTTAAACACTATTAATTTAAAACTTTTTTATGCTAAATAATTGTTAAGCAATATAATTTAATAATCTTGATTCAGAATGTATCTGATAACATTATCCTCTCTGTGTTTGTATTTATCTATACATTTCTAAAATTGCCTTTTCCCCATACCTACAAGGCTTCACTTGTGCCTCAACTAAAATTATCTACCTAAACTGAACAGAATGATTCTAGTTTTCTCTTTCACAGATAAATAAAAACACTTTTAGATAAATGTAAACTACAGAGAATTCAATTTGATTGTTTTTCACTATTTCTTTGCATAGTTTGTCTCAATTTAATAAAACWTTAAAACATAGTGACATCTTTATGGATACAAGTTGTAGGTTTGACATTACAGGGAGATGTAAGTTGTATGTACATTTAAGCAATTTTCATATTCTGTGTTACCTTAGGTGACTAGAAAATTCTTATTTACATATCTCAAAATCACAACTTTAACAACTGCAGAAAGAAATCAAGATGAAACTTGCAAATTTGAATTGATTTMTGTACAAATTTTTCTTTTGTTTAATCTATTCTACTGCATTTCTTTTCTGCATAAAACTACTTAATAATATTCAATCACTTTACTTTAAGGTTGAAAGATTTCAAAACAAACTTAATTATTRGCTCTTCTTACTATAAGAATAAATCCATTAAATGAGTTCTTGCAAGGCACAACAACTCATTTTTACTAAAAAAGAAAAATTGATAAARATGCTAATTTATTTGTAAAGCGTGCAGCGTATAAAACACAAAGGACCCCATGTAAGATAATTAAATATGATGTTCCTGACATCCTGCAGTAGATTCAATTATAAAAGTATAAATACATACTGTTATGATTGTTTCTRAAACTAGATGTTACAAATATATCACACTGGTTACAAAACACTCCCCAAAAAACATAAAAATAATGTCTACATGAAAGCTAATTTATGTATTGTTTGTCTACAATCAATGTCTTGTCTTGCTTGACAGTTCTCACTGAAATAAATTTATCTTCATAAAATTAACTATCTTAACTTTAATTTTCTTGCTTGATTTCATTTAGAATGGTTTTATTATTTCTCTTTTAACCTTCTTAAAAGTTAAAATGTTTTGGATTTCAGATAATTTCTGCTTTCACTTATCAATAAGTTATGTTTTGTTTGCCTAGAAATTATCCCTTTACCAATATGGTTCTTGTATTTTGTACAAGATTAAAATATTAGGCCTTAGGTATAAAGCTTACTTTGTAAAAAGCAATAATTATTATTGGCAGTGAAATACCAAAGAGGCATAGATTGCCATAAGTTGATAAAATCATCTTTTGCTTTATTAGCAAAAGTATATGAGCAATATCTGTAAATAAACCTTAGTCTGAGGACCTAAATAGCAAAAAACCTAACTAATTTACTTATTTTTTAACTTGAAAAACCTTGAACGGTTATAATTATTGAGGTTTTTATGGCAAACTATTTGTGTGCAAGTTGAATTTCCCTGTCTAGCAATAATTGTAGACCAGCTTAGGAATATATTCCATATACGTACAATACGGCCATATTTATCAAACATGCGCTTCTGGTTTGCTGGCTGAATCCAGTTTTGATACCAGCGATGAATGGTATGCGAGTAGTGGACACCAACCTTTTCTGTTGCCTGGACTTCAAATCCAGCTTGCTCTAGTTGTGTTGTYAACCAACCAAGAGGACAACTGGCATCGGCACCGGGAAATATATACTTGGCCATAAATATTCCCCATATAAAGTCTTCCCACTGCCACGCCCTTCGCAATCCAGCAATTTGAAGGAAGAAAATACCATCATCTTCTAGCAGGTCGCTGACTTGGCGTAGAAATGCCTGGAAATGACGGATCCCTACATGCTCAGCCATCTCTAGACAAGTTATTTTGTCATACTTGGTGTAAGGGATATCACGATAGTCCAGGCACAGAAAATTCACTCTAGAGTTGACACCTTTCAGCTGAGCAACTCTATTTGCCCATTCTATCTGATTRCTTGATATCGTCACACCAGTCGAATTGGATCCACAATGCTCTGCAGCGTAATTCACTAGGGTCCCCCAACCGCACCCAATGTCCAAATGGCGATCCCCGGCCTTCATCTGGACTTTGTCACATACAATCCCGAGTTTATTTCGCTGTAATTCTTCCAGGGTTTCACTTGGATCGAGGACTATTCCTGACGTATAAATCATAAGGGGTCCTAAGAACGCTTCATAGAAATCGTTRCCTCGGTCGTAATGATCCCGCACTTGTTCGCAATCCTGGGTCTTGGAGTGTGACAACAATTCTGGCATGAAATTGAACAGGAAAAATTTGAGGTGATACATCGATAGTTCAAACGTTGCGAATTCCTTTCTATGTTCCATGGCTTGAAGGGGATCCATGTTGAAATCAATCTTGCCGTCCCCGTAAGCTTCATACAGAACGTGCATAGGGATTTTACGATTGGAATAAGTCTTGGCTAAGGCTTCGTCGTGAAATGTTAGATATTGAGCGACGCGCGATCCCTCGGTGCCGAGTTCCCAAACACAAAGRCGGTTATAAACGACAAGAAAAGACCCAAACAGTGGCAAAAGAAGAGCGATGAAACACAAGGGATACATCCACCATGGCAAGCCTAAAACACCGATAACCACACCTGGAACGCCGAGTATTATTGTCAAGAGTGCGCCGTACGATACTCTTTTCCAAGCGAGTTGATCAGAGAAATCGGGTAGATTTCTGTCGATCGTTTTTACATCGCCATTTTGAGCGTGAGCCATGATTGAGGGTCAAGGCTAACTATTCCTGCGATACGGGGACAGTTGTTTCTCGTCGGGGAATGAGCAGGATGAATCACGAGCGTTGAAGAGAACGAATTTCAARATACAAAGGCCGAGGCCAAGTGTCTAATGTACACGTGTCTGCTTGTCACCAATTAAATACACTGAAACAGCTCGACACTTTTTACAAGGGGTACCCAAGAATACATAGTTAAACTATTCTAATATCTCCCAAAAAACTCGAAAAAATGGACACTTTTAAGAGCATACTTATCATTTCAGTCTAATGTTCAACTCTGAGGGTTTTAAATATGAAAAATATAAAATTAAAATGTGCATTTTCGTATGTAAAATACTATTTTTCACCCCTTCCCCGAGGGTATGGACTGTGTTCATATAACATACCACGTGACAATAATATTTGGAGTGAATCAGAGCGATTAATAAATTCACCAATCAACATTTCAAACAAAAACAGCTGGCCTTTAAAGCATTAAAACAGATTTGAAGAATGAGCTTGTCAAAAAAGTCTTAATCAAATTTGAATAGTTTTCTGCTGCCATCYTGTATTTTTATTCAAATTGCCACGGCCCTGCAGTAAACAAAAATTCTTGTTGCTAAAAATAACAATAATCTACACTCACGCTAAAAGCAAAGCCAATAAATTTGCTTTCYTTTGCAATTAAAATCCAACAAAGATGGCAAATTAAGATTCGCATTTTTAAGAGTCTCTCAGCCTGTCTTATCAGTAAACATTTAAGTCCAAAATGGATCATCCTGGTCCTMGTTTCAGTTTTGAAAAAATCTACCGGACTGCCAAAGTTCAAGTAAAATATGAATTATGAGGTAAATAAACCGGTGGTTGATGTTTATTAGTGATGGATAAAGGAAAAGAATATCCATTCTTCTTTTTAATGTTGCATACTTCCGATATATTCTCTATTCCATGGTTACTGTTGCCATCGCCATAAAAATATTAATTCACTCCAACCTTCAACACTTGATGCAGGAAAAGCTGATAAGAGGTAGTGCTAGTGTGGATACTCCAYGAACTCAAAAATCTTAAACCATCTTATGGTAGGAATATCATGAATACTTAGACCTTTCGCTCTTTTATCCGGAATTTCAAAGCAGAATCAGTTTTGTTTTCTTGATATCAACCATCAAAGACAATGATCAATTGTTGTTGTATTAGCTCTGTTAAATTTCAATTAAACATTTTCCCAATCATCGAAAAGAAATTTTAAATGTGCTGTCACGTGGAATTTACAAAGAAATGAAATGAGTAGATGCTAATGCTTTCCGGAGTAATTCCAGAGCATTCAAATGGTTTCCTGAGTGAATCCAAAGCATTTGAATGGTTTTCTATCTACATTTCAATGGCTTTCTATCAATGCTTTAATGGCCATCTGTTTTCTTCAAYTAGAAGTTCAAATCGATTTTCCTCTAAATTTTCCTACAATTCGATTATAAATTAGAAGAGGAAGCCGTAACTGAATAGAAATTGCACAGATTAACTTGTGAAATGAGTGTGTTCGATGATAAGATGCGATGCCTTGGAGGAAGCATCTCAATGATGACTATTTTTTTTTTAAATACTGAAGAGTGTTTGCGGCGATTGCTAAGTATAATCAGCTGTTTTCATTGACATGCAGTCTTGTCTCCCTATGACAAGTCATTGTCGTTATAAAGAACTTTTATTTCATACACTATATTACAACCAATTTCTATACATAATTTATACAACAAATTTGCCTCACAAAATCACTGAGACAAGTCGCAACTCGGTGAATCGGCGTTCTGTGGTTAAACGTGAACATCTGCCTTTCTAGTCATGCATGAAATCTGTTTTCTTTGTCTACTGAACGAATTAAAAATTTACGATGTAATATAAAACTATTTTGGCTCAAACCCCTTAAAATCGTATGATTCTAAACCTCGTTCGTTTATCATGTGAAATTTTGCTTCCGGTGGCCTTTGATTGGACTTTGTACTTTAAATACAACSGGGTGAGCGATCTGGTGACTCACTTATTATTACAACACAAYAGYATAAAGGTCTTTCAAGGTCTTTCAGTATTCGCTTTCTTTAGTTTAATAAAATATGATAGGGCGCGTTTCTCCTCAGTTTTCTCTCGGTCCACGTTTACCACAGGACTCCTGAAGGTTAGAGGGTGTCAGCAGGTTTTCTGCAAAATGGACAGCAGTTCTTCTGTAAAACCATCAGCTCGAAGTCTTCCGTYTGAAAAACCTGTAAATAATAATATGTAAACCAACAAGAAGAGAAAGGAATAGATAAAGAGATATGACCGCCATGTTGGATCATTGTTCARGCTAACGGCAACCTTTTAAGATAGCTCTAGCTACCAACTATGATGTTATCAAAGAAAGCGACATTCCATCATTCKAGATTGTCGATTATATCGGCGAATAGTTCTTTTAAGAGAGGAAGAAACGAGGAAGTTAAAAAACCTCGAGCAAAACCCAAACGTGACAGCGGCTGACTGTCTTCATTAACATATCTTCCTTTCCGTATTTCATAGGTCGTTTTTGTTGAGATTAATTAGTAATGTCGATATCGGCATATAAAACCGCGCGTACGCTTTCGGGCACAGTTTACTATCAAGCTCGTACGCAACTTCACGCGATTCGTCCATAATTTGCCAAATTCGATTGTCGAATGCAATCTTACACGGATCACATTACTTTTTTTGTCAATTTTGATTGTTGCATGTCAGCAAGCTTTCGAAACGATTCGCRTTAGCCTCCTCCGCATACATCACTAAAAATCATGGGCTTCCTGTTTTTTTTGGGGGGGTAGTCAAAAAGAAGGGAGAATTCCTTTCTCGCCACTAGTCCCTAGCGGCCAAGATGACCGTTACAATCCAAAAGAGTAAAAAATATAGTTGCCTGGGAAGGAGACTAGATTCGCCTTCATTTTCTTCATAAGCTCCGTTAGACCACAAATCGCATAGTACCTAAATCTGGCTTCAGAGTCGAAGCATGTGGGACAGGCTCGTAAATTCCCCATTGCGCATGATCGGCATACTTACCCTATTGCAAGAGTCACACAAAGTTATCGATACATCAGGCATTAGAGATCGATAATACTGATAATCTAAGGGTTTAGGCCATTTCTTGACGATKACTTCGTCTCTATTCATAGAATTGAGAGTTGAACGTCCCACACGTACAGGGACAAAGTCATTCCCTCCTTGCTGTGAACGGAAAATGTTGAATTCAGATTATAAGRCACAAGAAGATGGTGACCAKAAGAAGATGGAAACTAACCTCAAACGTCATGAGTTTGGCAGTAAATGGATCTTCTTCCTCGTCGTCCAGCGGCATGTCATTTAYGGTAAGTGTTTGTACATCTTACAGGATAGTTAAGAAAAGCGTTGTCTTCAAATGGCGTAAGAAAAGGAAAAATGTAATATATGGTTCCTATAGATCAACTATGTTTCTATCATCTCATCAAACAACTATTCGCTAGGAATATCAAGGATACTGCCCATATCGGTAGCTTTCCATTTGGATAAATCCTTTTTCCTTTGGTTTGTCGTGGAGGGCTCGGCTTCGATAAGTTTGACTGCCTCAGCGTCGCTGGAAAAAGACCAACATTAGATGYTTGGTTGTAAAAATGGTGCAATAATGACAACCTACCTTATCCCATCTTCTAAGACGAACTCGACCAGTGGAAGAACCTCTGTGGACATAACACACGTGATTAGACCGACAATTCATTCAATATTTCAATCATTCATTCACTTTAGTTAGCATAGTGTTCCAAAGGTGTATCATACCGAATGACGAGAATGAATACACGAACGGTTGCCTGCAGTTAATACACTGGTTTCCTTTATTATTTAGCAGCTGATTAGTGGTTGAACATCGATAACACATTGGTAAAAGATCCTTCAAAAAAACAACAACAATAATTAAACCTCACTGACATAAGAAGGAAGATCAGGACTTGCTAACGTACCTCGTTATCGTGAAAAGGTTTGGATCGTACTGTGATACTCCCAATGTCTATTGATTCTTGGAAACGAGGCGGGATTTTAAGAGACTGCAAGTAAACCAACAACATGATTAGCCATCAAAGACTACGGTGGAATTCATAAAAAAGGTTTCTGTTACCTGTAGCTTATCGTACGCCGTCCTCGCCATTTTGTACGCACCAAGATTTTTACTCTGTTTTGCAAGGGCCAACAACGTTGCACTGGACGTGATTAAAGAAACGTGCTATATATGTACTGCTTCTACAGGAATTATGTCACATGAAGATGATTTTGATGATGAACACACATTGATGATGATTACAATGGCATCAACGATGATTCCTCGGCATCATTCCACTCCTCTCACCCTTCCTCCCCTTCCTATAGCCACCATCCACTCCCTCCCCCACCCTCTCGTTCCTGCAGCCACCATCCACTCTTCCCCTCTCCTTCCTGCAGCCACCATCCACTCTTCCCCTCTCCTTCCATCATCCAGGCTAATGTTGATACAACAACAGATTCAAGGATACACTCTGGACACTCCAATTGGTGTTTCACGTATTAGTAGATGCAGTAAGTAACGAGCGATGTTAAATAAGGTTTCAGGAAGATGTGACGTAAACGGCTCATCCTGGAAAATAAAAAAAAGTCATTGAAGTAAGGAGGGGCTAGAGAGTAGGTCGATGTTGGATTTTCTTCAGAGGAAATCACMGAATTTGTTATTAACATCAACATAAAATTATTAATATAAAAGCAGCCYTGTTTTTGAGCGTCAAACTATTTTACAGTGTTGAAGGGGTTTTTGAATAGCCGATATGATATCTGTAAGGAGGTCTGCATACCGTGTAGCGATGTATYGAGTGGTACAGGTAGTAAATTTCGGCTTTRTCTTGGTATAGATGGAATTTCTCAAGCATATTYGAGTCTACTGGTTCTCCTAGTAATTCAGTGGACATCATTTTAGTATCAAAGAATTAAAGGACGATGAGAGGTAAGTGTAACACCTTACCTGTATCACCGCCTTTAGCCAGGTCCAGGCATTGCACTGAGGTTTTCCAGTAATAGTAGCCAGCATCCTGGAATCTATTCTCAACAACAGCATTCTGACACAGTTGATCAAGAACACGAACCGCATCATCACGACGTCCAGCCTTGTGGAATGCTAAAGAATGGAACATTTGATCAGAACCATGTKAACAGTTCACAGGTCAATGATAGGACTTAATCAACAATTAGAAGACTTGATCAACAACAAGGAAACGTACCTTCTTGTGCTTCATCAAATCTGTCGTTCTCAGCCAACCAGTTGGCATAAGGTACATAGACATCATCCTGAAATAGCTTGTTTGTTAGTGAATGTAATTTGTCATTACAATGTTGCTACCTTCTCTTACCTTGAATTCGGGGTGTTTTTCCACCATTTCAAATGCTTCATCCCAGTGTCGTGTTTCTACATGGAGCTGAAGTAAGGCTTTATTGTCACCCTTCTTGAGGTACATCTCAGTTGCATAAGCATGCTAAACAATCGATTACAAACAAATTAATGGATGAAAGAATGGAAGAAACAYTGAATAAATGGATGRYTGCATGAATRATTATCATCTGTGACCCTGAAGGCAGCTGCACACTCAATCATGTGTCTGCYTCATTTCATTCTTGAATGCCTTGATATTGCATCRRYAAAGGTGATGCCTCTGTYATGAACAGGGCTGGTAGAATGKAWGAYTAATGGGATGGACGGATYTAGAAATGAATGYATGGAAGGGATGAGCAAATGAATGGATAGATAATTGAATGAATGAATATAATGTGAACTTGTTCCATTCAAGAATAAGACTAGTATAATTTGTACCTGTTCATGTTGCTTYAAGTAATAAGCACATCTATCGATGCACTCAGTATCAGCTTTGTTGAGATTGCGACCAACTTCCAGCAACCTWCACAACAGAGTATCATGTTAACCATTGTATGCTTCAAATAATGACTAACATCATCAATATGATGGTTGTGATGATGTTGATTATCTTAAGGAAGGTCTTCCAAGTTTGTGTAATTAAATATTAACTCTCTTTATGRATAACAAAATAGTTGAATACAAAACATTGTAACATACTTGTCTACCCAACCATGTTCACCAATGATTTCAATAGCTTTAAGATTCTCTCCTGCAGCAAGAAACATGTCGCTGTGAAAAAGACAAGGAAGAAGTTAGAATCCTATATCAAGATGACAACAAAGAGGTTTATTGGGAGCAAGCAAATCGGTTTACTAATGGACAATAAGATGGGATGATACAACACGCCTGTATTCACACAGGTACATATTGTGGCCTATTGGATGATATTCAACAAATGTTCTTTACCAATTCCGATGGATAATCCTCAATTATCTTGATAGTTTTTAAGACAGTTATGTAAATGATACAATAAGGAATAATGTGTATATTTGTAACTCACACAGCAGCCTTGGGATCATTGGTTGTTTCACACCACTCRGCCTGCTTCTTGATAAGCTGTTTGACATTCTTAGGATCACTGGTACCAAGAAACTCCTTTATTTTAAAATAACAACAGTTAAACCAGTGAATTTCAACCCTTTTGGTTGACTATGAATGAACTTAGCACATGATAATGCAAGTGTTTGTGCAGCAATAGTTATTATGTGTGATAAAATAGTCAAAGCACTGGTACCCAGTGTGTCCAACTCTTTAAAMATCATTAAGAATGGAGTGGTACAGACATTGAATACTATATTAATCTTATAAGTACAGTTGTGTCATTGAAGGACTTAACATACATGTACCTTTGCATACTCAAATTGTCTGAGGTCTGAAAACATCTCCATGGCCTGTGAAAACACAATGAACAATTTTATTGTCTGTTTATGATGACTGATTTCAGATGATGATGATGAATGAGGAATCAGTATAACTGTTGCTATTAGCACTGATGACAAGTGTTAGATGATAATGGAACTATTTAGGATACATACTGATGATGATAATGCAGTGCTGAGGTAAAATTACCTTGTCATCATTTGCTGTTTTCTTGTAAAGCTTGGCTGCTTCATGGAATTTACCCTGCAAAGCAAGTAAAKTGTTTCTTATATGCTCACTTTAAACAAGGTATCATGTTTGGCTGTTGACTAACTTCTGCTCAGGTTGTCAAAACACACTTCAATTTATTCATTACCTGGTAAGCATAGACATCAGCCAYGAATGCTTGTTCATCAGTCTCTCCTCTCTTCTTCCTTTCCTGGAATATACAGTGTATGTAAAATGTTATAAGTGTTTACATGGGTAGCACAAAATCAAGATGATGTACCTCAATGTTGTAGATAAGCTCCAAGTATCTCAGGTCACGCACACGGATAAAGGCCTGCAACAAAAAGTCAGAGAAATTTAAGTGATATGTTCATTCATTCAATGAAGATCTCATAAAGCTCAGTAAAAAATGTACCTTTTTTGCTGTGTCAAAATCAAGCCCCTGCAACAACAAAAATGTGTTTGTAAGGCAAACGTTATTATTATATTGCTGTAATGGATGGATACAGACCTCTAATGCCTCCAYGGCAAGTGCCATCCAATCTCCTTCAGTAACACCCAGGCATGCTACTTTGTAAGCACTCCTACAAGAATGATCAAGAACCACATGAATAATACTCAATGTTATTATTAATTATCTACACCTTATATAACAACACTTACTTGAACAACTTCTTCTCTAAATATTGGTACATTGGAGCAGACTGAAAGATAGAAATGGGAATTATTTTTAAAAGTGAATTTATCCTTGAAGATTATAGGATGCAAATTAAAGAAAATCAGCCGAAAACAATTAGTCTCCTTCGCATCCTACCTTTATGTTGGGCTTCCTGTCTCTCCCAAAAGAACAGGAAGGACAGGAAGCCCAACAAAAGGGTAGGCTGCAAAGGAGACTAAAAACAATCTGATGTGTATGAAAAAACAGCAACTTACAACAACTACAAAAGGTTAAGAATAATAGGAAAATAGAATGAGAAATGTAATACTACGTTAGTACCTACCATAGAACAAGGAGTCAGGCGGATAAAAGGGGGAAATGACACTATAATAAATTTACAATATAGGTTACCTGAGGAACCTCCACTGCAGACATTGTGTAAACATGAAGACAAAAGATCTTGGATCCACTGAACCCAACAACAAAACCCTGATATAAGCAAATCAAACTAACTGTAAGTCCAAGGAGAGATAAGATGTATGATTTACAATTTATTGTAAACCAGATCTATGAACACCAAATACCAAAATGACTGTTTTTACCTGTAYCTTTTGTTGATGGACTGGGAAATTACTTGCTTTAATGTTCAGCATTCCTCCTCCAGAGAAACACAACATATCCTTTAAACAAAACAAAATTTGTAATTTAATCTTCTTGATGCAACACATTAGAGACTTTACCTTCGTAAATCAATAATACTTACAGCATTATGGGTATTCCAAGCCACACTGTTAGCATTAGGTTCCTACAAACACAAGGAACATTGTCACAGTAACCTTTGAATATCATTATATCATTTCAAATCAGGGTCTGGAATAACTAAGACTTTACCTGGAAAAGCAGTTCTGAGGTGTTGATGTCATATACAAGACATGCACTGTTCTCATCCACAACAGCCAGTTTTACACGGCTGAAAGTAATCCAAATAATTATTAATAAAGGTTTATATTCTAGACACAGTCACAGACATAAAAATGATGGATCATTATTATAGCAGTAGTTTGGAATAAGGGTGTGATTAAGTTATAATAAGTAATCTTCATACAGGCATCGATGAGTAACCTTTGATCACCTTACATACAGCTTTAATGYACACGTTTTATAAAAACAAGCTGTCATCATTGAGTACATGTAGTTTCACATTTTAACAATAATCAASGATGCTTACTTGGCACAGAGATCCAGGCATCTTACACTTGTTTCTTGTTTTAGTAGAGATACAGGGAAAGGGTTATTGACAAAAATCTTCATYATCTGGCCATTCTTTAGTCCTACTAACAAACCCTCTCTAGAGGCTGGTCCACCAATAACTTTGATATATCGAATAAGAGACTCCATAACCCACTCTCTAGAACAATAAACACAGGAATATAGTTTAATAACTTTGCTATAATTGCTTAATGTTGGTAATGCAAGGTGCTACCTTTCCTTGTGTCCATTAAAAGACAAGCATTGTAGTCTTTTCTCTTGACAAAGAATGATGTGACTTGCACACACAACTAAGAGGTTGCACTCTAATTTCTGTTCAATTTTTTCCTATAAAAAATGTTAACATTAACACAA